TTTAAACTACAGTACCCATTTTAAACACTAGGGGTCAGAGTTAGATACTGCTTTTTAAAGTCCATAAAGGAAAGATGTAGAGTTTGTTTACCTGCAGGAAGTTCTGTGAGGCGCTGATGAGAGCGAGCTGAGCACTGGGACTGTCGGGCTGAGACTGACTGCCTCTGACGCCCTGGACCAGCTGAGGGATCTGCTCCGCCACCACCTGGGGAACAAAGAAATCATATCTGAATGCACCTGCCTAACCTCTGGTGTGTGTTTATATGTGTTTATGTGTGCATGTTACCTTGCAGCTCTGCACCAGCTGTTGCTGTGCTGCCTGGTTCTTTGTGGATGAAGCTGCTTGTTGAGCTGCAGCGATCGTCTGAGTCGCTGCTGCTGCCGCCTGTTTGGCTGCGTTCTGACAGGAGATACACGCACACGCACACACACACACGCACACACACACACGCACACACACACACGCACACACACACACACGCACATACACACACACAGGATTATTAGAAAGTTTACAGCAGGTATGACCAGTTCATAGTTTATAATAAGCAGAGCTGTTAGTCTCACAATGATACAAACAATCCCCCCCGTGTCCACTAGATGGAGCTGTTTGTTAGTACTGGAGTATGATACAAACAATCCCCCCGTGTCCACCAGATGGAGCTGTTTTGTTAGTACTGGAGTATGATACAAACAATCCCCCCCGTGTCCACCAGATGGAGCTGTTTGTTAGTACTGGAGTATGATACAAACAATCCCCCCCGTGTCCACCAGATGGAGCTGTTTGTTAGTACTGGAGTATGATACAAACAATCCCCCCCGTGTCCACTAGATGGAGCTGTTTGTTAGTACTGGAGTATGATACAAACAATCCCCCCCGTGTCCACCAGATGGAGCTGTTTGTTAGTACTGGAGTATGATACAAACAATCCCCCCCGTGTCCACCAGATGGAGCTGTTTGGGGTGGTCATGGTCTACCTGATGAGGCCTTCAATGACACTTACTGAACAAGACTCATGTTTGTGTTTTTTAAGCTCCGCCCCCTCTTACCTCCAGCTTGTTCACAAGTCGTTTTTTGATGGCGTTCTGGGCGGCGGCGTTGGTGGCCATACGGAGACCTTCAGCTGCTTCTCTCAGCTTCTGCTGCTGCTCCTCACTATCAGGGTTCGCTGCAGCTCCCTGAAAGAAGCAGAGTGAGAGGCGGGGCCTGTGAGTTTCAGCCCACAGACTGGTTGATAATTATTTGTTATCACTATTGACTTTAAGTGTTTGTGAAACTCTGCCTAACCCTGATGACCAACTCGTTCATCTGTTTTTAAACAGAAATGTAAAATCAGCAGGTTATAATGTTACTGCAGCCCCCCTACTCTACTTCTAATTCTAATTATCCCTTGAAAATAAATGATGATCATAAGATCCTAGAAAACATCACAAAAGATTGTTTCAGGGGTTTTGTCTAAAATTTGATCAAACATTTAGTCACCGCGGCCTCTTCTTTGGACCTTTTTAAACGAAACTTAAGACATCAGGTATCCAGTGAATGTCGGTAAAGACTTGTTGAGTTATGGATGTTAATGGAATCTTCTAATTTTGAAAAACACTGAGTGATGCTATAAAGTAAAGATGCTAACGCTTACCCTGAAAGTAAAGATACTAACGCTAATGCTAATCCACAAAGTAAAGATGCTAATGCTAATGCTAACCCATAAAGTAAAGATGCTAATGCTAACCCATAAAGTAAAGATGCTAATGCTAACCCATAAAGTAAAGATGCTAATGCTAACCCATAAAGTAAAGATGCTAACGCTAACCCATAAAGTAAAGATGCGTAAAGAAGAGTCAGCTCGCTGCTGCTCTAAAACAGTTAAATATAAAAGCCTTCAGACAGACGATGACTGAGCAGACAGGTGACAGGAGACAGGAGACACGTGTCACCTGTCACGCGTCACAGCTTTTATATTTAACTGTTTTAGATGGTGACATGTGACAGGTGACAGGTGACAGGAGACAGGAGACACGTGTCACCTGTCTCCTGTCACGCGTCACAGCTTTTATATTTAACTGTTTTAGATGGTGACATGTGACAGGTGACATGTGAAATGTGACAGGTGACAGGTGACAGGTGACACATGACAGGAGACAGGTGACAGGTGACATGTGAAATGTGAAATGTGACAGGTGACACGTGACAGGTGACAGGTGACAGGTGACAGGTGACATGTGAAATGTGAAATGTGAAATGTGAAATGTGACAGGTGACAGGTGACAGGTGACAGGTGACATGTGAAATGTGAAATGTGACAGGTGACACGTGACAGGAGACAGGTGACAGGTGACAGGTGACATGTGAAATGTGAAATGTGAAATGTGACACGTGACAGGAGACAGGTGACAGGTGACAGGAGACAGGTGACAGGTGACAGGTGACATGTGAAATGTGACAGGTGACACGTGACAGGAGACAGGTGACAGGTAACAGGTGACAGGAGACAGGAGACAGGAGACAGGTGACAGGTGACATGTGAAATGTGAAATGTGACAGGAGACAGGTGACAGGAGACAGGTGACATGTGAAATGTGAAATGTGACAGGAGACAGGTGACAGGAGACAGGTGACATGTGAAATGTGAAATGTGAAATGTGACAGGAGACAGGTGACAGGTGACAGGTGACAGGAGACAGGAGACAGGAGACAGGTGACAGGTGACAGGTGACATGTGAAATGTGAAATGTGACACGTGACAGGAGACAGGTGACAGGTGACAGGAGACAGGAGACAGGAGACAGGTGACAGGTGACATGTGAAATGTGACAGGTGACAGGAGACAGGTGACAGGTGACAGGTGACAGGAGACAGGTGACAGGTGACATGTGAAATGTGAAATGTGAAATGTGACAGGTGACACGTGACAGGAGACAGGTGACACGTGACAGGAGACAGGTGACAGGTGACAGGAGACAGGTGACAGGTGACAGGAGACAGGAGACAGGTGACAGGTGACAGGTGACAGGTGAAATGTGACAGGTGACACGTGACAGGAGACATGTGACAGGTGACAGGAGACAGGTGACAGGTGACAGGTGAAATGTGACAGGTGACAGGTGACATGTGAAATGTGAAATGTGAAATGTGACAGGTGACAGGTGACAGGTGACATGTGAAATGTGAAATGTGACAGGTGACACGTGACAGGAGACAGGTGACAGGTGACAGGTGACATGTGAAATGTGAAATGTGAAATGTGACACGTGACAGGAGACAGGTGACAGGTGACAGGAGACAGGTGACAGGTGACAGGTGACATGTGAAATGTGACAGGTGACACGTGACAGGAGACAGGTGACAGGTAACAGGTGACAGGAGACAGGAGACAGGAGACAGGTGACAGGTGACATGTGAAATGTGAAATGTGACAGGAGACAGGTGACAGGAGACAGGTGACATGTGAAATGTGAAATGTGACAGGAGACAGGTGACAGGAGACAGGTGACATGTGAAATGTGAAATGTGAAATGTGACAGGAGACAGGTGACAGGTAACAGGTGACAGGAGACAGGAGACAGGAGACAGGTGACAGGTGACAGGTGACATGTGAAATGTGAAATGTGACACGTGACAGGAGACAGGTGACAGGTGACAGGAGACAGGAGACAGGAGACAGGTGACAGGTGACATGTGAAATGTGACAGGTGACAGGAGACAGGTGACAGGTGACAGGTGACAGGAGACAGGTGACAGGTGACAGGTGACATGTGAAATGTGAAATGTGACAGGTGACACGTGACAGGAGACAGGTGACACGTGACAGGAGACAGGTGACAGGTGACAGGAGACAGGTGACAGGTGACAGGAGACAGGAGACAGGTGACAGGTGACAGGTGACAGGTGAAATGTGACAGGTGACACGTGACACGTGACAGGAGACATGTGACAGGTGACAGGAGACAGGTGACAGGTGACAGGTGAAATGTGACAGGTGACAGGTGACACGTGACAGGAGACAGGTGACAGGTGACAGCAGACAGGTGACGGGTGACATGTGACAACAGACAGGTGACAGCAGACAGCAGACAGCAGACAGCAGACAGGTGACATGTGACAGCAGACATGTGACAACAGACAGCAGACAGGTGACAGGTGACAGGTGACAGCAGACAGCAGACAGCAGACAGCAGACAGCAGACAGGTGACATGTGACAACAGACAGGTGACAGCAGACAGCAGACAGGTGACAGGTGACATGTGACAACAGACAGGTGACAGCAGACAGCAGACAGCAGACAGCAGACAGCAGACAGGTGACAGGTGACAGGTGACAGGTGACAGGTGACAACAGACAGGTGACAGCAGACAGCAGACAGCAGACAGGTGACAGGTGACATGTGACAACAGACAGATGACGGGTGACAGGTAAACACACCTTTGCTGCCTCCACCATCTTGGCCGTTGCGTCGGCGAGCAGTTTGGCAGCTGACAGCAGCTTCCTGGAGTTCTCCAGGTCAGACTCTCCTTCGGCGTCCATCTTGATGGCGTTGACCAGATCAGAAGTGGCCTGGGCGAGGATACGAGCCTGACGCACCATTTCACCTGCAGGGGGCAGCAAAACATGAAATGAAGCCAGAGTACCCATCTGACCTCAGGTGAGTCACCTGGAGGAGGAGCCTAAACATAAAGTCTCCGCCTACCTGCGTCTCCCATGGAGCTGAAGATATTCTCGGTGACGTCTAAGATTCGGTCTGTGGCTTCTCCATGTCGTCCAATCGGATGTCCGCCGCTGGCGTACTGTTTAATGTGCTGCAGCAGCTCGTTCAGCGCATGAGTCACACCTGTGGCGGCCACGCCCACCTGCTTCAGGAGCCCCTCATCATTGGTTGCTCCCTGGGACGCCTCCACACAGCCTTCCACTGATTTAGCCACAAGCTTCCCCGCTTCAATGAGCTGCTCCTGACACACCGGCGAGCTGATGGTGGGAGCGACCACCTGAAGGACACACAATGCATTCACTGACAGCAGGAAACCAGAGACACAGGTGTGAATGTCTCTCAGGTAAACTCACCCGAGTGCAGGCAACCAGCTGAGACGTGGACAGAGCACACTGAGTGGCTGCAGCGATGACTCTGTTCTGCTGGGCGGAGTCTTCGCTCTTCTGAGCCACGTTCTTCGCCTTCAGCACCAGCGCCGCTGCCGCGTTAGCCACTGCTTTAGCTAGCTGCATTAGCATGTCCTGCAATAAAAAACTGTAGTTAGCATCAGTTAGCACTGAACACTGAATTACAAAGATTCATGAAATGACCTGAAGATCATTAAACCTGCATTCTCTCTAATGTCCAGCAGGGGGCGCCTGGTTGCATAGAATCTAAATGTTCATTTATTCCCTCAGTATCATTTTCTAAAAGAGTTTATGGTCTCTGTAGTTTCTTCTTATGGTCTCTGTAGTTTCTTCTTATGGTCTCTGTAGTTTCTTCTTGGTCTCTGTAGTTTCTTCTTATGGTCTCTGTAGTTTCAAGTCTTCCTCATCACAGCACGATGTTCATTCAGTAAATAATGGTCCAGAAAGAGGGGGAGGAGCTACTGACAGGTCGCTATCATGGCAACCTGAAATGACTTGTTCAAAGTTTGGTCGGACTAAAAGAAGCTCTGAGGAGATGCTGTTCATGTTTAAGGTGACAACGTTTGTCAAAGGAACTGACCATATATGGACAAGAGGGCGGAGCTGAACCTGGTGATCAGATAAACTGACACCTGAAGAAATGATTCAACGGGATGTCTGAGCTGTCAGCTGATCTCTGATCACCTGTTTGGATATTAGGTCACCTTTGATTGACAGATGTATTGGTGGACTCTGATTGGTCAGAACTTTGATTGACAGATGTATTGGTGATTGGTGGACTCTGATTGGTCAGAACTTTGATTGACAGATGTATTGGTGATTGGTGGACTCTGATTGGTCAGAACTTTGATTGACAGATGTATTGGTGATTGGTGGACTCTGATTGTCTGTCTTGAGGACAGGTGTGTTACCGTCATGTGAGAGTTGGAGCTGACTCCCCACCTGTTCCCTCTGACTGATTCTCCACCTACAAACTTACACATGTACACACACACACACACACACTTTAGAACACACACACACACACGTTAGCTTCGTCTCAGAGCGGCGCTCTCACCTGGAACTGAGGGTCAGTGTCGGTCTCTCCGATGTGAGACAGCAGCTCTCCGCTCGCCTGACCCACGTTTCCTGCGGCCTGCAGCAGAATCTGACGAGGCTGCACAAACACAACGAGACACAGGTGAGACAGGTGAGACAAGTGAGGCGGGGGAGACAAGTGAGGCAGGGGAGCATGTGAGGCAGGTGAGAGACAGGTGAGGCAGGTGAGACAGGTGAGACAGGTGAGGCAGGTGAGACAAGTGAGGCAGGGGAGACAAGTGAGGCAGGGGAGCATGTGAGGCAGGTGAGAGACAGGTGAGGCAGGTGAGACAGGTGAGGCGGGGGAGACAAGTGAGGCAGGGGAGCAGGTGAGGCAGGTGAGAGACAGGTGAGGCAGGTGAAACAGGTGAGGTGAGAGAGGTGAGACAGATGAGACAGGTGAGACAGGTGAGGCAGGTGAGACAGGTGAGAGAGGTGAGAGAGGTGAGACAGATGAGACAGGTGAGACAGGTGAGGCAGGTGAGACAGGTGAGAGAGGTGAGAGACAGGTGAGACAGATGAGACAGGTGAGGTGAGAGAGGTGAGACAGATGAGACAGGTGAGACAGGTGAGGCAGATGAGACAGGTGAGACATGTGAGACAGGTGAGAGACAGGTGAGACAGATGAGACAGGTGAGACACCTGTCAGGTGACAGACAAGTGAGGCAGGTGAGAGACAGGTGAGACAGATGAGGTGAGACAGGTGAGGCAGGTGAACCAGGTGAGAGACAGGTGAGACAGGTGAGGCAGGTGAGACAGGTGAGACAGGTGAGGCAGGTGAGACAGGTGAGACAGGTGAGGCAGGTGAGACAGGTGAGACAGGTGTACCTCAGTGTTGGCGGGCTGCGCCGTCTTTAACATGTCAGAAACAGCACACGCCAGGTTCTTGGCGGCGCCGAGCAGCTGCTGACCGTTTCCTCCTTCATCGTCCATCAGAGCGGCCAACAGCTTCACGCCCTTTGACATCTCAGTCAGGTTAGACGAGATGGTCGTGACGGCACAGCCCACCGCCGTGTAGTCCGTCTCTGCAGGGTCACCTGCAGTGAGGTTGACCATGGAGGCGGTGCCTGCTGTGATGGCGTCCACCTGAGAGTGGATCTCATGTTTGGACTCGTCCATCTTGTTTTTACGCCACGCTTGAGAAGCCTGGGACAAAGACAGAAATGTGACATCATGCAGGTGAGACAGCAGGTCAAAGGTCAAACAGAGATAGAAATATGACATCATCCAGGTGAGACAGCAGATCAAAGGTCAAACAGAGATAGAAATATGACATCATCCACGTGAGACAGCAGGTCAAAGGTCAAACAGG